CATACTTATGCCAAATTTTATCCCACCTATTAGGTGCATAAGTGGACTCAGGTGCCTACGTGTGATTCTATTCTAACCTATTCATGTCCTGTCAATCTATTAATGCCCCAATTTTTTTTTTTTTTTTTTTTTGGTAACACACTGCAATCTGACCCTTAAGATTGAGTCACAAGAAGTAGCGAGGAAAAGGAGGACCCACCCACCTTTTGTCTTAGCAGTTTTTCATGGATTTGAGCTGTGTGGAATAGGATTGCATTTAGGTGCATAAGTCCAATCATGAGCACACGAGGTGGAATAGAATCAATCCCTGGGCAGAATTCTATCCCACCTAATGGATAACTAAAGAGCAACTGATGACCAATTCTGAGTCTCCTGACTATTGTGTAGGAACAAGAATATTACCCGTTCTGGGTGTGTAAATACTCCCATTATAGTAATAGGGAGATCATATGATCATAGAAAAGTAGGGCTGGAAGGGATCTCATAAGGTCATCTAGTTCAGCCCCGAGCTTAAAGCAAGATCATCCCTGATCATCCCACCCAAATGTCTGTCTAACCTGCTCTTGAAAACTTCCAAAGATGGCGATTGCACAACTTCTCTAGGTAGCCTGTTCCAATGTGTGATCACCCTCATAGTCAGAAAGTTCTTCCTAATCTAAAACATAACTTTCCCCTGGTGAAGCTTGAGGCTAAATTACCTTGTGATGTCCCTTCCTACCCTACTTTCCTATGATCCTATGTTGACGGGTCCTAGCCCTGCCTCCTACATTCATGGTGAAAGCTCATCCCTATCCTCTTGGTAATCACCGTTCAGGTATTTGAAGACTGTTACCAAATTCTTCCTCAGTCTTCTCTTCTCTAGACTAAATAACCTGAGTTCTTTCAGCCTTTCTTCATAAGTCTGCTTCCCAGGCCCTTAATCATTTTTGTTGCTCTGTGCTGGCCTTCTCCCAAACTGTCCACATCCTTCTTGAAGAGATGGGCCCAAAACTGGACCCAGTACTCCAGGTGAGGCCGTACCAGTGCTGAATAGAGTAGAATGATCACTTCCCTTGATTTGCAAGTGACATTACTATTAATACAACCCAGGATGCTGTTGCCTTTTTTTTTTAGCAACAAGAGCACACTGGTGGCTCATATTCAGGTCATGTTGTACTGTAACCCCTGGGTCCTTCTCTGCTGTATTTCAGTTCAGCCAGTCATTCCTCATTCTGTATTTGTGCATACAATTATTTTTGTCTCAAGTGAAAGACTTTGCACTTGTCTTTGTTAAATATTATCAGATTGACTGCAGATCATTTTTCCAGTTTATCCAGGTTGTTCTGGAGATTAGCTCTACCCTTCATTTTGTCTGCAACTCCACCCAATTTGGTGTCACCCACAAATTTGCTAAGTGTATGCTCAATCCCATCATCCAGATAGTTAATGAAGCTATTAAACAATATTGGCCCTGGGACAGACCCCTAGGGAACCCCTCTTGATACCTCCTCCCATCTTGACATTGAGCCATTGATGACTATTCATTGAGCACAATGAGCCAACCAGCTATGTATCCATTTCGCAGTACTTCAGTCTAGTCTGTATTTTCTTAGTTTGTTAATAAGAATGTTGTGGGGATGTCTATGCAAAGGTCTCCAGAGAGTGATCCTTTTCATATAATTGGGGCAATTTTGCGTCCAGAGGGAGAAATGGAATCACTCCCACACTTGAGTCCAGTAGCTCAGAGTCTGTCACAAGCTGTAGTTTGGTTTTCCACAAGGCGAAATAGAGCTGTGCCCATTATGCTTCTTATATTTTGTTCAGGCTGTTGACAGTATGCTTGTCTCTTCTAATGTTGCTGCCTCTTTTTTTCCCCCCAGTATCCATTCGTGTTCCTTCAGGTGAGTGTCACAGAAATTGGTATTGTGTCCCAGGTTACTAAAGTTTAGATGGATTTTTCAGGGCTACCCTGTATCCTAGACGCTGGGCATGTCTACATGTGTATTAATGCACTGTAATTATGGTACGTTAAGTTTAGTGTGCCATAATTGGCAATACTGTGCAGTAGTGTCAGTGCACATCTTTTACATGACGCTAATGTGCAGTAGACAATTCTACTGTGCACATTAATGCAGCTTCTGCCATGACATACTAATGCACAGTAGAATTAGTCTACTGTGCTTTTAGTATCTCATGTAGACAGGCCCATTGTGAACCAAGTTCTGCTGTATGTTACACCAGTGTAAATATGAGTTAGATTTACCCTGCATGAAAAGGATCTCCATTTGTACCTTTATCTCCATTCCTAGGGTAGAAGTGTTGCCAGCACTCCTACTCCCATCTGTGCTTCTAGGGGATGAACCTTGAAGTGGGGAAAGGACTGGGAGGCTGAAATATTAAATCACATACCAACCAAAGAGCTGTTTTTAAAAACCCATAGCTTCAATTTAGGGCCCCCGTTTCATCTACACACACCCTCAGAGACCAGTTTAGAACCCAATGAGTAATAGCATTAACTTGAAACAGCTGCACATGATGAAGTTTGGATTATTTAAGAGGCTGTAATAACTGGCTCTTCCTCTCTCTTGTGGGTGTAGGACCCTAACAGCAACCGGATTGGCCAGTGGCTGGACGTGGTAGCTCAGGATGGCATTGCAGATTTATCTTTCCAGCTAGCTGCTGAGCCTCCCCTGGGGATGTATGTCATCAACGTAGCCAATGGGAAAGCATACAGCAGCTTCTCCGTAGAGGAATATGGTATAAATTGGAAATCTGTGGGGCAGATATGAGGCATGGGAAATCATATCTGGGAAGAGGAATCCCATTTCAGTACAAGAAACTGATGGTAGATGGAGAATAACATCTGTGGAGGGAAGGCTGTCACTTTGGACAGAGAAAGGAGTCAAATTCATAATGGATATTGTTTAAGGAGGTGATTTGCTGGCTCCCTGGTTGGTTGGGTACAGTACAGTGGCTCTAATGGAACAACACCAGCACTACAATCTGCTGACTCCTGAAATCTGACTGTAAGGGCATGAAGGTGGGAGTTTCTAAAGAGCTTAAGTGATGTGGAAGAAAGCATCCCATTGGCTTTCAATGGAGCACAAGCTTCTGCATCACTTAAATCCTTCTTAAAATTCCATTCTCAGTGCTTATTTCTAGAGGAATTTGTAAATGCTACTTTCACCCTCTCTGGCTTTGTTTGTAGAATGTGCCCAGGGCTGGACTTTTGTTCTTCGGTCTTTCCAGAGCCATGTAAGAGTAATACTTCGTTAGCTGTGGGTAGCCTCTTTCCGTCATCACTCATCACAAACAACTGAGAGAGGTCAGGGAATTCTACAAGTTAATTCTGAGCCATCAGAGAATGGCAGGCTGAGCATAGACATCATCACTGGGGTAAACACCCAGGAAACAAACTGTCTTCCCTTATAAAAGAAGAAAATGGGACTTCCTACCCCCACTCGGCCAGGGTTTGTCTCCACCTCTATCCTCAGCAAGATGTACTTATTCCCTCTTGTCTCTCTGGGTTTCCCTTCCAGTGCTGCCAAAATTTGAAGTGATTTTTGAGAAGCCAATTCATATTTACATTTTGGATAAAACCTTCCCACTACAGGTGTGCGGCAGGTGAGGAGGCTTCCTTGGTGGGAGGGACACACTACTGCACTCTAGTCTGTGATGAGCAAAGGCCCGTGTATCCTTTAGGGGAACCTCCAGGAAATATACAGATGTGGAAACATGGGATAGAAAGGGGGTCCTGAGGCTATGCAGTCCAGTCCCCAGTATTTGTAGGTAACTATTTGTCCAAAGGAATTGTTTATCCCAACCTCCCTCACACATCACAACCACAAAGTAACCTATGATGGAAAAAACCCTAAAAAACTGGACATTGTGTCATAGGCAAAAACCAGGGGAAACGAGGGCATCACTAGTGCCTTGACACAACATGGCAGAGGATTTGTTAGGTTAAAAGGCACTCAGACTAGGAAGTGGACTGTGCCTTGCACTGCAAGAGAGCACGGCCTCCCCTTCCCAATGGTTCTTGCTATTATGACCTGGAGAAAAAATTTTTCTTTACTCCAGATCTGGAAGTCAGTTCAAACATGAGTACATGAGCAAGACTGTCCAGTCAAGCACCCAAGAGGTTTCTGAGTACTAAGAGATTGTCTCAGTTCAGGCCAGACCAGTTCCTACTTCTAGCTGTTGCCAATGTCTAGTGCTAGAGGAAGCTAAAAAGAGCAGCCAGAAGCCAAATATGTTCATGGATGGAGGGGTGGGGGGGAATGCCATTCTCTTGATATGCCTTATACATTGCTTGTATCCATCCACACAGTGAATTCAATCTGTCAATGCACAGGAGCAGTTCCTCTATTTTGTAACTATCTGTCACTCCGACTCTTTCATGCAGATACACCTATGGGAAAGGTGTGCAAGGGGGGATGGAGGTAACCCTGTGCCGGAAGCGTTGGTCCCTGCCCAGCCCGGAGAAATCAGACCTCTGTAAGAGCTATCTCAGCCAGGTGAGAGTCCCTTAGCAAGACAGGAGCCACAGTCCTACACAACAGAGCAAAGAAGCCACACTATTTGGGCCAAGGAGAAAGGGAGGCAATTGTAGGTGCTTTATTTTCAGTTGGTTTCTCTCCATGTTTAATCCCTGAGTTTGTTACTCACCCGCAGCTAACATCTGCTTTTGCTTACTGTTGGTAAACTTGGATAGTTCCCTTTTCTTGTGTTCTATCCCTTTCCAGTTCTCCTTTCTTTTCCAAGTTTGACCCTTCCTTGTTTTCTATTATGTTTCCCCCTTGAATTGCTTTGAGTTTAACTGTGCACATTGAGCCAGATTATACGGGAAGAACATAAGTGAATTCAGGTGCCTAAGTGCCATCCTGTTCTAGAAAGCCCCAAAAGCCATTTAACAGGAAAAGACCACCCCCTTTCCACGAGATGAATGTACCTCACATCAATGACTCTTCTGCCCAAGCAACCTCCCCAAACAAGCTTACCATACTCTCAGGGTTGAGCTGTGAAGAGAGGTGTCATGGGCCCTGTGAATTTGCTGTATGATTAGGGGCATACAGAAATTGCTCCAACCTTGGAGTGATGGTGCTAGCTCCAAGGTAGCTAGTGGGAACCCTCCTGGCCTGCTTAGAGCATGCACTTGCCTCGGGCACCTCTGGCTCTCAGCTAACCTACCACTGCACTTTCCCCTTAGGACAGGGGTGGGCAAAATGCGGCCCGGGGCTGGATGTGTCCCACCAGGCCATTCTGTCTGGCCTTCAGGGCCCCTAAAAAATTTAGAAAATTAATATTAATCTGCCCTGGGCTGCCTGTCATGTGACCCTCAATGGCTTGCCAAAACTCAGTAAGCGGCTCTCTGCCCAAAATAATTGCCTGCCCCTGCCTTAGGAGCTCCCATCCTTCCCCTTGCAGGTGCTCCTTTCCCTCTTTCACTTTAGGTTCGTCCTTACTTTTTTTCTGTTAGGTATGGTTTTTTCCTGGCTTTCCCTGTTCTCTGCTTAAGTGTTCCCATCTCTCATATCCATCTGGTCCTCTCCCTCTCTGCCTCTAGGGAATCTGGGCCCATTTGTTTTTGTATGGCAACTCATTTTCTCAACTGGGCTGCTCCTCTTGAGGGAAGATCATCATTTTTTTAAAAAAGCTCTGTCTGAAAAATTTTATCTGCTGTTTGGAAAGTGACACCCCAAGGTGATTAGAGCTGGGAGGGACTAAAGGAAACAAATATTTGGTTGTTTCCTTTTAGTTTTTCCCTTTGTGCATCTAACTGGGCTTTGTGTTTGCCTGGTGGACCAGTCTTCCCTTTGTTCCAGGGGGTCTTTCACCCAGCAACAGAGAAACATTTAAAAAAATGTTAAATAGGCTTTGTAAAGACACACATGCATATACACATGTGCACACACATATATACACACATATAGATATGAACTGATAGACATGCACACATGCACAAAGGCACACACACACATGCACACACATGCACGTGCACACAGAAAGGACGAAGGAGGTAAAGAAGGCTTTTTGCCCTCCACACCCCTTTTGCCACAGGAATCACCATCTCTGTCTCTGATGCTGAGATCTAGCCCCTCCTGGCACCACGTTGTGCTGTGCCATGGTGCAGGCAGGAGACAGAAGCACATCACCATGTAGGCAGGGTGATATTGTCTGAGTGAGACTCAGATCATCAGCTCTTAAGGTGCCCTCTGATGCAGAGTGGTGAGCTCCAGCAAGAAGAGGCTATGTTCTGTTCCATGACATTTTTACCTCCTGCTGGTCACTCTCCTATTGTGCTGGGGTCTCATCTGGACTTTGCTCTCTCTTTTTTTCAGACAGATAAGGTGGGCTGCTTCTCCACATCTGTCAATCTGGGCGACTTTCTCCAAGTTTCTCCCAACTTCAGGGACAGCATTGATGCAATGGTCACATTAAAGGAGATTGACACAGGTAACTCCAGTGGTGTCTTCAAAAGCATACAAAAAGCACTTCAAGGCATACCCAGGCATACTGGGAGCACCATAGGCCACCTGTCCTTCTCTTACGAGCACTGAGACACAGGCTCACAGAAGCTCAGGGGCTAGGCTACTTCTAAACCAGGGGCAGGCAATTATTTCAGGTGGAGGGCCGCTTAATGAGTTTTGGTAAGCCATTGAGGGCTGCATGACAGGCAGCCAGGGGCGCACAAATATTAATTTTTAAATTTTTTTAGGGGCCCCATGGGCTGGATAGAATGGTCTGGCAGGCCACATCCAGCCTGCAGGCCGCACTTTGCCCACCCCTGCTCTAAACTCACAGGGGATCTACAGTTCAGTTCCACTGGTTTGACCCTGGAGGCTCTAAACCCCAACACTTGCATCTTTAAGGCTCCTTGATTCCCCAGAAGTGCTGTGATCCAATCTCGTGGTGGGCTGTGGCACTGAAAGAATTAGAAAGGGAAGCTAGGTATGCCAGAATCCTGGGAGGGGTATAAGGTGTATGCAGCCTGACATGTATAATTGTGTTGCCAGTGGGCTGGCTGAGTGGTGGAACTGATTTGTGGAGTGGTTCTTTGTTTGCTTCCCCCTTTCACACCCTTTTTTCCAAATCTGTTCCCTCAGGAGTGCAAGTCAGTGCTTCTGGCAACTTCTTCATCTCCAGGACAGCTGGGAGAGCCACATTTGAGGAGGCAAACCCTTACTACTACAGTGGAGAGGTCTACACAGGGAAGGTAACACTTAACTACACCTCTGGAAAGTATCACAGTAGTGATGCTGCAATCTCAATGACTATACTGGAGATACTTGGTTAAACTAGGGTTAAAAAGTCACAAATTATGACTTACAGGTAAAAACAGTTGTGGAAAATGTTATTTAACAAAAGACACCATAAGCAGTGAAAACAAAGAGGAACGTGAGTTCAGGGGTCAAACCTCAGTCAACCGTCAAACACTTTGATGTATGCAATTGTATAGATGAGGCACCCAGGCTATCTTTGGGAGTGATCATCTTGCTAATGGTGCTTGCTTGTAATACAGTAACTAGGGTGATACAGGAGATGATGGCTCTTTCAGAAGTTCTGGGAGTTGGGACTGCCATTGATTTCTCTGATCTAGAGATGCTGAGGGTGATTAGGCTGAGCAATGTTCTATCTATTGACAAAACTGCTTTATTTCCTCCCATTCCCCATGGGGTTCTTAGGTTAGGCTGGTTGATCACCAAGGCAGGTTAATGAACAACACAAACGTTTACCTGATTGTAAACTACAAAGGAAAACTGTTCACGGCAATGTACACCACAGATGACACTGGGAGAGCTTACTTTGAGCTGGACACAAATGCTTGGGGTGATAATCCAGTCTCACTGGAGGTAAGTGAGGAAGATGGATTTCCTTATTTGTGAGAAAGAGGGACTCAGTGTGCTTTCCAGAACAAGCTTATTGCTCTGCCGATGGCTCACCATAGCTCTACTGAAGAACTATAATTCTGACTTCCTGGCTTCCCCACAAACAGCATTTCTGAGGCACATCAGGCCTATTCTCTGAAGTTATTCTAGTCCTGGGCTCCTCACAAAAGTCTGCTGACACTGTCCATCTGACTTAGGCTTCCCATCCTGCCATATAAACCATAGGCATCCATAGGAATCTGTTTCACGAAACAACAGATTTGCACTGAGCGAGGCATCAGTTTGTTGAACATCTGCGAGCATGGCTGTAGAGCCCAATTCATGAATGATAGTCCTGATGCAGTGGTGCAGTCTGCTTTTCTGCAAAGCTGGAGTGACCTCTCCAGGGCATAAAAGCATGAGCGGTGTATATGGAGGTACCGGGTTGCCTACATACCCACCTCCTCTCAGCTTTACTGGTTTAGTTCAAAGGAAAGGCAGATACCAGTACATTTGGAACCAGTTTAGCTGCAGGAGCTGCCAAAACAAAGCAGATTATCCATTATCTGTTTATCAGGGGTCCACTCCTAAATGTGCTATTGACCAAGGTTCAAGAGTCCAGTCTACCCTATCATGGGCTGGACCTCAGTTCCACAATGTTTTGGCAGAATTTCCTCTACCAGGTATAAGAATAATACCCCCCTCTAAGATGCTCTTCTGCCCAAAGACATTGATACTCCCTAGAGGTTGCCAGAATATTTAACTGCTGTCTGGCACTCAGCATTAACAGTTACAGGTAGTACCATCTACTGTAAATTACAGTAGTGGGTGAACCTGACTTGACAATATGCTGCCATACCTGGCATTCACATGAGGGATGAATTTGGCCCAGGATATCTAAGTACTCTCTGTGATGCGGGTCACCATCAATTTCAAAGTCTTTTACTTGGGATGGTTTACTCACCCAAGGAGTTTTACTGTTTTTCACTCTTGGCAGGGGAGGTTCCTTCCTCGGGATGCAGAGTATGTTCCAGGTACAGCCAGTGTGGTTTACCAGAATGCCTACCATTTCATACAGCCATTTTACACCACCACTGAGAGCTTCCTCAGGATTGTACGTGTGCCAGGGATTCTGCCTTGTGGCAAAATGCAGCAGGTTAAGGTGGACTACAGAATTGACCGGCGAGACCTGATGCATGGCTCCAAATATATGATTTTTTCCTACTATGTGAGTATCTATGACAGTGCTGGTGTAGAGGGAAGGGGCATGATGGGAGGTGCTGGATCACAGAACAGCGACAGCTGAGGCAATGGCAGAGTTGACCTTGTGTGTGCGCTGACCCAGACAAAGTTCCTCAGTGATGCATTTGAGAAACCCACATTTTGGAGGCAAGATGGAAGTTCAGTCACATAGATGGAAGTTCATCCAGGCCTTGAAAACACCAGTCTAGTGGCTGTCTAGCCTTGTTTTCTCTTTGTTCTCTCTGGGCACCAGTGCCCTTAAGAACTTGGCTGCTTACACAGTTCAGCCTGGAGACCATCAGTCAGCTGCCGGATAACCAATACTTTTGCATCTTAGGGACCCTAGATAGATTGGAACAGGCACCCTACAGATAAAAGTCTGCATATCTCACTCCCTTGATCTCCTACAGCCACCTTTTCTCCCTATTTAGAGGTGGGATTATAATTTGTACCCTGGAAGGTATAAAGTTGTGTGCGCCATTTCCTTTGAGTCCTTCTCCCATGAAATCTTGCCTGCATGATGCTCTCAAACAATGAGCTATATTTCAAGTATCTCCTGGCCTTCCTCTTATGCTCTCTCTTTTCCCCTGTAGGTCACTGGTAAAAAGGGAATCATCCTTTCAGGTCAGAAGAGTGTCTGGGTTGGCCTGCCAAGCTGTAAGTTCATCCTCCTCCTCTCCTATGCTCAGCTGTTCCCTTGTGGGCTCTGCTGCGTGAACTGAATCCTTTTGTTTGTTTGTTTGTTTTTGGGTTTTTGGGGATTTTTTGGAGCACTCCCCCTGAGCAGCCTCTTCTCTGCCATGTCCAGCTTGAATGACTTGTCTGCACTTTCATGGTCCCTCATGGCCTGCCCTCCCTACCTGCCATCTCTTGTTCAGCACTGAGGGGTGGACTCCTTCCTCAGATATCCCACAGGGCTAGCCTCCACCCCCACCCCCACCGGCTAGTTATCATCAAACACAATGCTCCCTCATGCTTTCCCTCCTGCTATCTCACATTGGTGGTAGCTCCCTGTACACCTCTCAAAACTGTGGGACTATCCTTTTAGTGCCTCCCTAAAATGCTCTTTCACCATGATACCCACAGCAGCCAGACAGCTGGTGTGCCTATATACCACAAACTGTCTTGCTGACTTGTATTGTACCCTGGACTTCGCCATCTGTCTGGCTCCATCTGTTGGCCTTGACACTTAAATTGTAAGTTCTGTGGGGCAGAAGCCTTGTTTTTGCTCTGTGTTCATTTAGTGTTGTGCATAATGGGTTCCCAACCCATGACAGGGGGGCCTCAGGCACTACAGTAATGCAAATAAGTAACAACAGAGTATAAGGTGACTCTGAGAGAAATGCTTCTGGCAGAGATGAACACCTTGCAAACAGCCAGAAGGCTGAGGCTGTCAGCCCCCTTTGGGAGAAGGACAGAGATGGGTAGAGCTTCTGGCTGTTCTCCAATGCCTGACATTGTCCACAGGGACACCAATTCTTTTGTGGGCCTTTCTGTGGTACTGATTGAGGAGAAAGGGAGCAAATTGGACAAAGGGAGGATGAGGGTAAATGGAGAAGATCTTGATAGCTTTGGTAACAGAAATGTATCCTTCTTTTCCTCATTCTCTTCTTCCTTTTAGTGATGTCAGGCCACTTTTTTATCCCTTTGGTCTTCACCTCTGACTATGCTCCAGCTCCTACCATCATAGTGTATGTCATCTTCCCCACTGGAGGAATCGTTGCGGACAGTGCCCCCTTCAGTGTTTCCATGTGCTTCAAAAATAAGGTGGGACTTTATTTTGAGGGCATTTCTGAGCTTCTGGGATGAGATTCTTGTTCAAATAAGGAACACAAGCAAATGATGAAAATGCAAGCAGTAGATAATGTGGACCACTCTGTGTATCAGTGGTTGGGGTAGTGATGAACTGAAGGTGTTTGTAGAGATGAATGAAAGCTTGCAAGGGATGTGGTAAGTAGCATAATGTTCTGAATGAATGCTTGAATGGATGGGAAAAGATACCATAGGGGTATATGAAAGGTACGTTAGTGACTGGCTTTGAATTGCGGGGGTATGTAAGGGGGTGCTCATGTGAAGTGGGTTTGAGTGTGTGTGGATGCAGGACAGACAGGTAATAGCAGTGTCTGTCCAGGTGGGTTCCTGCATCATGCCAGTCCTGCAGGTGCAGAGCATCACAGATGAAGTGAACCAAAGTAGCTTTCAGGATCTCTCTGCCTGTTCTTTGGGTACTGGGAGTGGTTTGGTATTTATGTTGCAGGAGGTTGAGGAGACTGTGGGTGAAAGCAGATCACAGAAGTGGACATTACCACTTGCACAGAAGGGGGCTATGAGCTGAGAAAGAGCCCCCTTGTCCTGTGCAGAGCAGTCTGGCCCCTTGAAGACAGAGCATTGTTACTCCTCAGGAGCGCAGTTGTCCTGGGGTGCTGTGAGCAGACATGGGGAAGAGGTGGCTCAGAAAACCAAGCCCAGTGTCACAGAGGGATTGAGGATGCAGACTGAGACCTTGAATGTAACTGAGGGCTCAGGGAGGAGGTGGAGCAGAGAAAAGAGCACAGGCAGATGTGCTACGCTGTCCCCAGGCTGTGCTACTATGTGAATGATCTGCTGTAGCCTGCAGAGTAGGGCTCTGTAATATCACTATGTGCTCTCAGTAATCTGCCCCCAGCCCCCAACTGCCCTATGATCTATCCCTTCAGAATCCAGCTGCTGCCATCACCACTGCACTCCCTTCAATACCCTCTTGAAGAGGCCACCTCCACCTAAGTCAGGGACGGGCAATTATTCAGGCGGAGGGCCGCTTACTGAGTTTTGGCAAGCCATCAAGAGCCACATAACAGGCAGCCAGGGGCAGCTAAATATTAATTTTCTAAATTTTTTAGGTGCCCAACGGGCCAGATAGAATGGCCTGGTAGGCCACATCCGGCTCACGGGCCACATTTTGCCCACCCCTGACCTAAGGTGAATCCTTAGCGGACTCCATTCATTCGAACCATGCAGAGCTCCTCCCTGCCACTAGGCCCAGCAGAAGGGTCAGCAGAAGGGACTCTCTCCCTGGTTCTGCTTTTCTCACCCCCACTTTTGTGTTTTTAACTCCCATGCCCTTCTAGGTGAAGCTGGGCTTCTCAGAGGAGGAGGCCCTTCCTGGTTCAGATGTCAGCCTCCAGATGCAGGCAGCTCCTGGATCTATGTGTGCTGTCCAGGCTGTGGATCAAAGTGTGCTTCTGATGAGGCCAGAAAAAGAGCTGAGTAACTCCATGGTAAATGACTCCATCCCTGCCTGTTTGTGTGTGTGAGAAAAAGCATGTAAGGAGAATACCTTACACCAAAGCAGCACTCTGCATCCAGTGACCACAAAAGTGCTCTCGAGAGGGCAGTAGCATCATCCCTAATCTACAGACATAGATCAAAGCTGAACTTTCCATCCATGATATTTTATGTTATTTATTTATTCTATTCATTAGCTTTATATGCCATAGCAGGGAACAAAGCTTCAGGCAAACCTGAGACTTGTTAGGGGAGGAGCATGTGGGCTCATAGTTGCACCTACTGGTATTTTTTACTCTTTCTTGCTTCCCCCAGATCTATGGGTTGTTCCCATATATTTACCGCTCAGGTTACCCTCACCAAGTGTCTGAAGATAACTACTGCTGGTTCCCAGATGCTCAGCAGCCAGATGTGTTCACATTGTTCAAGGTAATAATATTTTATAACTCTCCCCAAGTTAGGTAAACCAGAGTCTCTGATTGTGTAGCCAGGTTATTAGGAAACAGCTCCAATAGACATCAATACCCCATTGGTTGGTTACATAAATTACTTGACTTTAATGATTAATAGGAAATGTTTCTGTTGCACACCAGTAACTTATTGGTTGGGTGGCTCAGAACGCCAACAATTACTGGTTTGTTGGAGTCTTGATTGTCTTCAGGCCAAGTGTTTAAGAATGCCTTAGATTAGATGGGCAGTGGGTTACACTGCTCTTCTGCACTGCTGACCACTTGGGCCTCTGACACTGGTAACCAGCAGGAAACACTTTTTCTTTGCTTTGAGAAGCCCCCCCTTTTAATGGGTGTATCTGGGAAAGGCTTCCAACAGAAGCATTGCTATTTCCCCATGAATCTGATAAAGCTGAAGGAGAATATACTTGCACTGGTTGAGTCAGGCCTGATAAATCAACTGAAGCTGTCACATTGTCTCATTGTCTCAGGATGTAAGTCCCAAAGTGAGAGATTCATCTCTTAGGGCAAAGGGAGATTTGGGTCCCCCTGTATAAAAAGGATGGCAGACTTATCAGAAGGACAGAGGGGAGAGGGACAGAGAAGGATGGGCTTCTGATACCTAAACTCCTTGCATCCCCTTTCTCCTGTCTTCAGGCAATGGGCTTGAAAGTCTTATCCAACACCAATATCCAGAAGCCAAGGGAGTGTCTAATTACTACACCCAAACCATATATGTGGGATGAGATAAGACCATTTCTCCAAAGTAGGTACCTGCCAGCTCTTCATTCTTCATTTTCTTATTACTCAGAAGAGTGCTCTGCCTTTAAGGCAGAAGTAGCTCAGTGCTCTAGGTAAAAATATGTTGTGACTACATGCAGGAAGAAAAGAAAGAGAAAATGCCACTCTGCCCTAAGCTTTGACATAGCCTGTGCTTGAGGGCTCGATGCCCTAAATTGTCAGAAAGTTGTCTGTGGGTATGTCATTATATTAGCCTCTTGGCTAGTAAGTTGACTTCCAGCCATTTAATTTCTGAGCTAAGGATGGGACTCTTCTGCTTGTAAACTGGTTCCAAGGGTCTTCTAATAACCAAGTCCTTGTTTCCCCTAGCATTTTCTATGACTGGGACAACAACTACACTTGGAACCACCACACCTATGCCAGTACCCATCATTGAAGAGAAAGTCCGCAAGTATTTTCCTGAAACCTGGATATGGGATTTATTTCCTATAGGGTAAGTAGAAAAGCAATGGTACCTTATCTGACTGTCTGTGTGATCCTGAATGGACACAGATAGGGTCAACTCTTAGCATATCAGATAAATGAGGATAACTGCTGAGTCACACACCTCAGGTGTTACCAGATTTGCCCACTACTTTGGGGTGTGCTCATTTATTAGGGCTAGGGTCTTGGTAATTCTATTAATGTGC